ATTCCAGCCACCTAACCAACTGTGAATTCACTTAGTCATTCAATCAGCCACTCAGCCACCTAGCCGACTGTGAATTCACTTAGTCATTCAATCATCCACTCAGCCACCTAGACAACTGTCAATTCACTGAGTCATTCAATCAGCCACTCAGCCACCTAGCCAACTCCCAATTCACTTAGTCATTCAATCAGCCACTCAGCCACCTAGCCAACTGCCAATTCACTTAGTCATTCAATCAGCCACTCAGCCACCTAGCCAACTGTGAATTCGCTTGGTCATTCAATCAGCCACTCAGCCACCTAGCCACCTATCAATTCACTTAGTCTTTCAATCAGCCACTCAGCCATCTAGCCAACTGTGAATTCACTTCCACATATACAGCAGCAGGCATCGTCAGGGTCTGGATCAAACCCACGACCTCCTGCATACCAGGCAAGGTAGACAACATCTCCTAGCCACCGCAATTAGCAGGCATCGTCAGGGTCGGGATCGAACCCACGACCTCCTGCATACCAGGCGAGGTAGTCAACATCTCCTAGCCACCGTTAATAGCAGGCATTGTCAGGGTCTGGATCGAACCCACGACCTCCTGCATACCAGGCGAGGTAGTTATGATGAACCCTAATGATGCCGAAACCGGTTGACGGTTGTGTCTTCGTTTCGGCAATGCTCATCGGTGGCTGTAATCGACCGAATGGTCAATCTAATTGAATCTTATTTGATATCTACGGTGAGTGCACCCGCGCGCTTAGCATAGTGTACAACAACGGCGACAAAGCGACTGCAGTTTGATTATGTAGATGGCAGCGAGTTCACAGGGCGGTGAGGATCTGTGGAAAATAACAGGTGTAGGGTGGGCCCCCCATGTCTCCCCCTTCACAGCCCACGACTCCCAGCCCCTCCCCTACCCCCCCCCCCACATCTCCCACCCCCTCCCCTACCCCCCCCCCACATCTCCCACCCCCTCCCTACCCCCCCCCCCACATCTCCCACCCCCTCCCTACCCCCCCCCAGTCCACATCTCCCCCCCCCACTACCCCCACCCCCCCCACATCTCCCACCCCCTCCCCTACCCCCCCCAGTCCACATCTCCCCCCACTACCCCCCCCCCCACATCTCCCACCCCCTCCCCTACCCCCCCCCACATCTCCCACCCCCTCCCCTACCCCCCCCCCCAGTCCACATCTCCCCCCACTACCCCCACCCCCCCCCCCACATCTCCCACCCCCTCCCCTACCCCCCCCACATCTCCACCCCCTCCCCTACCCCCCCCCAGTCCACATCTCCCCCCACTACCCCCACCCCCCCCACATCTCCCACCCCCTCCCCTACCCCCCCCCCACATCTCCCACCCCCTCCCCTACCCCCCCCCAGTCCACATCTCCCCCCACTACCCCCACCCCCCCCCACATCTCCCACCCCCTCCCCTACCCCCCCCCCCCACATCTCCCACCCCCTCCCCTACCCCCCCCCCAGTCCACATCTCCCCCCACTACCCCCACCCCCCCCCCACATCTCCCACCCCCTCCCCTACCCCCCCCCCCCCCCACATCTCCCACCCCCTCCCCTACCCCACCCCCAGTCCACATCTCCCCCCACTACCCCCCCCCCCCCCACATCTCCCACCCCCTCCACCCCCCCCCCCCCACATCTCCCACCCCCCCACTACCCCCACCCCCCCACATCTCCCACCACATCCGCTCGACTTGATGTAGCCCACAACAAAAACCCAGACAATAAAAACCTCCTCCCCAAACTTGTCTTAGATACAATTCCGTGTTGTTGTTGTTGTTTTTGTTGTTGTTTGTTTACAAATTCCAGAAGCGCGGCTGTAACATCGCCAACAACCCTCGACTCGGTTCCGATGTTCTGCGTCTCATCGGGAAACCAATTCTGGACAACTGCCGCATGTTGAGAGGCAATGGCTGGTTTCGACAAGCAGCGTCTCATCAGCAGTCTTGCTTGCCCCCCGAGCCAATGCACGTGAACTGTGTTGGCAAGGGGTCGTCTCCGTTAGATATGGGGCGTGGTTCATCACACAACATCACCGCTCTATACAACAAAGCACACGAACATACCGAGGCTTTCGTTCAACTAGGACTCACGTGTACGAGTGTGCTTGCCTACAACGTGAGCCAGTTCACGACTCATCGGTTAAAGGGAGCCTGCCTCTGCTGATGAGGCACTGGATGTCAAAACTGGTCCTTGCCTCTACTCTTGGTTCTTTCGGTAAAGTCACGTAGGTAAAGAAAATAATAAATAAAATAAAATTTTAAATCGCGATGTTTCGATTGCAACACAAGCAATCATCAGCAGGTGTGACACCACAGCTAGAACATGTTGTGGTGTTCACACCTGTGTTGCAATTGAAACGTCGTGATTTAGTATTTTTCTCTTAGGGGTTTTTCGGTAAAGTTACGTCGGTAAAATCATAATAATAATAAAATAATAAATCACAAAATCACATTAAATTTAGCTGTGACGGTCCCACCTGAAGACGGAGACTTGTGTTGCCTCCGAAACTTCGTGATGAAATGTTATTTTATTATTATGTTTGTACCTACGTGACGTTAACGAAATAACCTAAGAGTATGGACCATTGCAGTCACGAAAGCTTCAAATCTAGAACGGTCCTTGCCTGTAAACATCTTTGCTGTTCATCTTTTTGGTTCTTTAGGTAAAGTCACGTAGAATGGAAATAATTAAATTATATAAATAAAACATAATAAAATAATTCTCACGACGTTTCGGCCACAACGCAAGCAGCCGTCCTCAGGTGAAGAACAGGTCTGTCGAGAAGACAGAGTCTTTCATAATCAACAATTTTTGGGTTTAGATCGCGTTTATTTATAAATGTGTCGTAACCCTCCACCACCCGACACGGCCAATCAGTAAAAATGTGTCACGTTGACAAAGACAAATAGTTCACTGCTTTAGCCCACCGGTGTGTTGTTATAAATAAACGCGATCTAAACCCAAAAATCGTTGATTATGAATAACATTGGTCGCGAAAGCCTACGTGTTAAAAAGACAGAGTCTGAATGTCTGTCTTCTCTGAATGTCTGTCTTCTCGACAGACCTGTTCTTCACCTGAGGACGGCTGCTTGCGTTGTGGCCGAAACGTCGTGAGAATTATTTTATTATGTTTTATTTTTATTATTTTATTATTTCCATTCTACGTGACTTTACCGAAAGAACCAAGAAGATGAATCCCTGCAGTCACGAAAGCTTTAAATCGAAAAATCTTTGCTGTTTATTGCTTCAAGCGAGCCTTACCCTGCTGATGGGACAATGAACGTTGCGACCCACGATCATCAGCGTCGTTGATAGTTTCACACAGATGGCCATTGCCAAGGAGGGAGTGATGTAGCGATGTAGCACGTGTCCCCATGGGTTTGTCGGCACCCTCGCCCGCCCGCCTTTGTCTTCCCAGTGACGACGTTTTACACACCGCGTCAGGTTCTCATTTGAGGCCGAGTCCACCTAGGAGAGGCGCAGGAATTACTTTGGCCGTGAGCGGGAATAGAACTCGGCTCGCCGGCTTCGCAGCGCATCGCGCTAACCGCTGCGCCACCGCTCCCCACACCCCCCTCGTTTGCAGCGGCCTTCATCATCGGTGCTCCCCGACAGCACTTGCTCCAAAAGTCCTTCGAGCCTACACGGGGGATCTTTGCCCCGTCTCGCGGTGACATAAAGTTTACCCGGCTGATTTGACGCCCCCCCCCCTCACCCTCCTGGCAAGGGAGCTTGTCCCTCACCCCTCCCCTCACCCCTCCCCTCACCCCTCACCCCTCCCCTCACCCCTCCCCTCCCGTCACCCCTCCCCTCAGCGCCAACAATAAATACATCACTGGAGCGGAAATTCCTCCCTTGTACGCTCAGGCAAACTCCCATACGCACGCACACGCACACACACTCTCGCTCATACAATCTCATGCACACCCAGGCACTCTCTTACACTGGTACGCATCTACACACAACAACAACAGCAGCAACAGCCGTCGCCACTCGCGGCGGTGACGTCACCACGGGCGCTTGTGCCAGGCTAGGTGCACGTTGAGGCCACGTGAAGTGTCGACGGCTCTCGCTGCCGACAGGAGGTCACGGGGCAGACCCAGCAGGTGCCACGGGTCGACTGACTGAGACGACTGGCAGATGCACCACCTGTGCCCCCTACTGTGTCAACTCGCTGTGTTTTAGCCACCCGGCGCTCCGCTCGTTGTTGTGAGCGTCGCTCCTCCGCCCTCCGTTGTTGTTGGAGGGCGTCCTTCACGAGCCTCCTCCACTGAGGCCGATCTTGACACCGCTGGTACCAGTCATCGGCAAGTCCACTCAGCTCCACGTCCTCCTGTACCACATCACTCCATCTCTTCTCTAGCCCGTGCCGCGCCCGTTTAGCCCCCTCGATCCGGCCGAACAAAAGCTGTTTGGGCATGCGGTGGCTGGGCATGCGGGCTACATGACCCAGCCAACGCAGCCTTGCCTGCCGGAGGAGCTCACTGGTAGGACAGTGTCCATATCTCTCAAGGATCTGTGAGCTCCTCGCACAATCCAGCCTGCAGGTTAATCCCAGGATGGATCGTAGGCAGCAGGCCAAGCCTAAATGTTTCTAACCGGCGCAGATGTTCCTTCAGCAGGGTCCACGTTTCGCAAGCGTCGAGACGGAGAGGGCAATGACCGTGGCCGAGAAGACCCGGAGCTTCGTGCGGAGCGACAGACCAGGTAGCTTCCACACAGCGGTAAGCAGCTGATTCAAATATAATGCCGCTCGACTGATTCTGAGTGAGACCTCCGCTGCCACAAACGTGACCTCCCCCCCCCCCCAATCATCATCACCGTCGTTCTGCTGTCAAACCCAACAATGGTTTCAAACGGCGTGGCCGACCTCCTCACGCTGACGATGCCTTATCGGCGAAAGCGGCTCCCCTCTGAAAGTTAATGAAGCAAAGCGGCTCTACGTCCTCTTCTTCCACGGCAAGTTGGGAGAACTGTCAGTATCGACCACGAGCTGGTGACCTCGTCAAGCCCGTGGTCGACCGGCCAGCCCGTTGGGGTTTGTTCCCGATTTGAAGTCCGCGCCGACAGAGATTGAATGGAACCGGCGAAAAAACTGTGGATTGCAAAGCCAGCGTGTTCCGCTTAACCGCCGCACACACCATGGCTGTTGGCAAGCGGCCTTCATTGCTTGCTCGGATACAGAGGTGAGGAAGGGCGACGTTTGGTTATTTCTGGACAGTTTCGATCTGTGCGGAACGCCGGTGACTGCGTGCGACCGGCGTTTTCGTTCCCTATTCGGTTACCAGCAATGCGACGAGGCCTAACGTCGCAACCCCAGTCCGATTGGTCACTCGTGTATTCTGTGGTGGATATCAAACACATTCCTGCGGAGGGAGCTGGTAGGAACGTTGGGTTGCTCGGTCAATGGCCAGGGTCAACGGCGGCGTGGTGTATTCCGCAAATATGCCCGACTGTGAGGGCGGGCACAAGCCGGCGTGAGTAGGTTAAACGTTGAGTTTTATAAGGGCACCACGGGGTGACCAGCCCCTCCCCACCCAGCCCCACCCCTCCCACCCCCCACCCAGCCCCACCCTCCCCTCCCCACCCAGCTCCACCCCACCCTCCCCACCCAGCCCCACCCCACCCTCCCCACCCAGCTCCACCCCACCCAGCCCCGCCCCTCTCCACCCTCCCCTCCCCACCCAGCCCCACCCTCCCCACCGCGCCCCTCCCCACCCTCCCCACCCAGCCCCTCCCCACCCAGCCCTCCCCCTCTATGGGTCTCTGTGTGAGTCTATGGTTCTCTGTGTGAGTCTATGGGTCTCTGTGCGAGTCTATGGGTCTCTGTGTGAGTCTATGGGTCTCTGTGTGAGTCTACGGTTCTCTGTGTGAGTCTATGGGTCTCTGTGCGAGTCTATGGGTCTCTGTGTGAGTCTACGGGTCTCTGTGTGAGTCTATGGGTCTCTGTGTGAGTCTATGGGTCTCTGTGTGAGTCTGTGGGTCTCTGTGTGAGTCTATGGGTCTCTGTGTGAGTCTATGTGTCTCTGTGTGAGTATATGTGTCTCTGTGTGAGTCTATGTGTCTCTGCGTGAGTCTGTGGGTCTCTATGTGAGTCTATGGGTCTATGTGTGAGTCTGTGGGTCTCTGTGTGAGTCTATGGGTCTCTGTGTGTGTCTATGGGTCTCTGTGTGAGTCTGTGGGTCTCTGTGTGAGTCTATGGGTCTCTCTGTGTGTCTATGGGTCTCTGTGTGAGTCTGTGGGTCTCTGTGTGAGTCTATGGGTCTCTGTGTGAGTCTATAGGTCTCTGTGTGAGTCTATGGTTCTCTGTGTGAGTCTATGGGTCTCTGTGTGAGTCTATGGGTCTCTGTGTGAGTCTATGGTTCTCTGTGTGAGTCTATGGGTCTCTGTGTGAGTCTATGGGTCTCTGTGTGAGTCTATGGGTCTCTGTGCGAGTCTATAGGTCTCTGTGCGAGTCTATGGGTCTCTGTGTGAGTCTATGGGTCTCTGTGTGAGTCTATGGTTCTCTGTGTGAGTCTATGGGTCTCTGTGTGAGTCTATGGTTCTCTGTGTGAGTCTATGGGTCTCTGTGTGAGTCTATGGGTCTCTGTGTGTGTCTATGGGTCTGTGTGTGTGGCTATGGGTCTCTGTGCGAGTCTATGGGTCTCTGTGCGACTCTATGGGTCTCTGTGTGAGTCTATGGGGCTCTGTGTGAGTCTATGTGTCTCTGTGTGAGTCTATGTGTCTCTGTGTGAGTCTATGGGTCTCTGTGTGAGTCTATGGGTCTCTGTGTGAGTCTATGGGTCTCTATGTGAGTCTATGGGCCTCTGTGTGAGTCTATGTGTCTCTGTGTGAGTCTATGGGTCTCTGTGTGTGTCTATGGGTCTGTGTGTGTGGCTATGGGTCTCTGTGTGAGTCTATGGGTCTCTGTGTGTCTATGGGTCTCCGTGTGAGTCTGTGGGTCTTTGTGTGAGTCTATGGGAGTGAGATCGTAGGGCCATTGGGTGAAACTCCAGGCCAGGATTTTTTGCATCCTAAAAGCCTCGAGGCAGCGGCGGCAGCAGCAGCTGCCTTTGGGGGCCACATGGGCCAGAGGTCAAATGTCAGAGGCTGCCATAGAGCTCGGACCATTTCTCAAAAGCGTCGCGTCTGTTTGTTAAAATAAATAAGGGTACGTGGCGTGGAGGAGGGGTGTGTGTGTGGGGTGGGATTGTGTGTGTGGTGTGGGTGAGTGTGTGTGTGGGGTGTGTGTGTGGTGTCGGTGTGTGTGTGGGTGTGTGTGTGTGAGTGTGTGTGGGTGTGTGTGTGTGTGGGTGTGAGAGTGTGTGTGTGGGGTGGGTGTGTGTGGGGTGTGAGTGTGTGTGGGTGTGTGTGTGGGTGTGTGTGTGGGTGGGTGTGTGGGGTGTGTGTGTGTGGTGTGATTTGTGTGTGTGTGGGGTGTGAGTGTGTGTGTGGGGTGTGTGTGGTGTGTGTGTGTGGGGTGTGTGTGTGGGGTGTGTGTGTGTGTGGGGTGTGATTGTGAGTGGGGTGTGAGTGTGTGTGTCGGGTGTATGTGGCGTGGAGGAGGAGTGTGAGTGTGTGTAGGTGTGTATGTGTGTGTGTGAAGCGGCGTGGGGAGTGGTAGTGTAGGTGGGGAGCGGTGGTGTAGTGGTTAGCGCGCTGCGCTATGAACCCAGCGACACGAGTTCGATTCCCGCTCACGGCCAACACCAGTGACAATTATCTGAACCGGTCCCGGGCCTCCCCTAGGTTGACTCAGCCTCAAATGAGTACCTGGTGCGATGTGTAAACATCGCCACTAGGAAGACAAAGGCGGCCGGGCGTTTTGCTACCCTCCATCGCGGAATAGATCTTGACTTAAAGCTTTCGTGACTGCAGGAATTCATATTGTTTGGGTCTTTCGGTTAAGTCACGGAGAAGGGAAATAATAAAATAATAATAAAATTATAAAATAAAACTTAATAAAATAAAATTCTCACGACGTTTCGGCCACAACGCAAGCAGCCGTCCTCAGGTGAAGAACAGAACCAAGGCTTGTGGTGTTTCATTCAGACTCTGTCTTTCCGACAGACCTGTTCTTCACCCGAGGACGGCTGCTTGCGTTGTGGCCGAAACGTCGTGAGAATTTTATTTTATTAAGTTTTATTTTATAATTTTATTATGTTTTATTATTATTTTATTATTTCCCTTCTACGTGACTTTACCGAAAGAACCAAGAAGAAGCTAACAATTGATTCTAGATTTGAAGCTTTCGTGACTGCAGGGATTCATCTTCTTGGTTTTTTTTTCGGTAAAAATAACGTAGGTAATAAACTCTAAATAAATAAATAAAAACAACTCAATGAAATCACGACGTTTCGGGAGCTACGTTGTCCCCCACCTGAAGAAGGACGCTTGTGTTACGCCCGAAACGTCGTCATTTAATTTAGTTGTTTTCATTTACTTGATTTTTTTACCTACGTGACTCTAAATAAGTATAACCTGTAAAAACAAAGTTTTTCACTATAAATCCTTTATATGCGTGGCGGCTAGAGTCATCTCGTCCTCTGGCTTGAGATGGCTGCCACCTATGAGTCAGATGATTGTCTGCCAGTATTAAGCAATTGGTAATTAAATATTTAATTAGTTTTCCCTAAACAGTGTAAAATTTTGGACAATTAATTGTCTCGTACAACGAGTCTGTGTGCAAAATGTCAGCTCGATTGGATCACGGGAAGTGGGTTAAAAAACGACCGAAAGATTTGCACGGTCGTAAGCAAGCAAGCAAGCACGCAAGCACGCAAGCAAGCAAGCGAATTTAATATAAAGGATTTAAAAATGTTATTTTTACCGAAAGGCCCAAAGAAAATGCGGCATAGACTCTCGCTAGCGCCACCCGGTGTCACGCTACGAGAACTTGAAACCGCCACCAGTCGAAAGGACCCACATGCACTCGGATCACAGGGTATTTTTGCTCAACCAGCCGAGTTGAGAAGTCTTCTTCTTGGTTCTTTCGGTAAAGTCACGTAGAATGGAAATAATAAAATAATAAAAAATAAAACATAATAAAATACAATTCTCACGACGTTTCGGCCACAACGCAAGCAGCCGTACTCGGGTGAAGAACAGGTCTGTCGGGAAGACAGCGTCTGAATGAAACACCCCAGGCTTGGAGCGTATATTTAAGCTGGGTTGGAGGGGGAAGAGCGCCTTGACAAAAGGATTTGCATATCAAGAGGAATTTAGCATATTTATGGGAAATGTATTATTTTATTATGTTTAATTTTTATTATTTTATTATTTCCCTTCTACGTGACTTTACCGAAAGAACCAAGAAGATGAATCCCTGCAGTCACGAAAGCTTTAAATCGAAATTGAGAAGTCTTATTTAGAGGGTAAGAGCCTCCCGTTGGCACGAGTGAACTCCTGGACAGCACCAAATTGACAAAAGGCCACGAACCAAAGCGCGTGTGTGTGCGTGCAGCAAAGAGAAATCATCGCGAGAGAAAAACAACCAGTCACCAGCTGCTGCGTCGTGGTCGCTTAAGAAATCGAAAGATATTGCACACAAACGTAAACCAGAATCTTTATTGATACTGGAGCAATCCGGTGAGCTGTAAAGATCTTTTTATTTTTCATAAACTAAATCGGTGGCCAGATGTAGCTCATATCACGTCGCTGAAGTCGGCCAGGGCAGATTATTTTTAGACGGATCGTAGCAGACGTACAATTCGAGAAACAAATAGGGTGATTATCAACACATTCCTCCTGCGGAGGGAGCTGGTAGGAACGTTGGGTTGCTCGGTCAATGGCCAGGGTCAACGGCGGCGTGGTGTATTCCGCAAATATGCCCGACTGTGAGGGCGGGCACAAGCCGGCGTGAGTAGGTTCAACGTTGAGTTTTATAAGGGCACCACGGGGTGACCAGCCCCTCCCCACCCAGCCCCACCCAGCCCCACCCAGCCCCTGCCCTCCCCACTCTCCCCTCTCCACCCAGCCCCACCCCTCCCATTTTTGGATGCACGACGGACGGACACAATAATCTCCTGTGGGCTGGTGTAACCAGGAGGTTCCTACCAGTATGAGATGGGTTTTGTAATGATGATGATGCTGGGTTGGCAGTGATGAACAAACAACAACAATCACTCAACACGGTCCGTGTCAATAACGCTGTGCGTGGGTGGCCTTACTAGGACAGTTATATATAATAGGCGACGTTTCAAGCAATGGCCCTGCTTCACATGGCATCGACAGAAGAGATAGGTACGAGCAGATAAGAGTTGAAGACATCAAGTCGGCGACAGGACTGGTGTTGTTGACTGTTGTTGTTGTTGTCTTGGTGTGGTCTGGGAGTGTTGTTGTTGTTGTCTTGGTGTGGTCTGGGAGTGTTGTTGTTGTCTTGGTGTGGTCTGGGACTGTTGTTGTTGTTGTCTTGGTGTGGTCTGGGACTGTTGTTGTTGTTGTCTTGGTGTGGTCTGGGAGTGTTGTTGTTGTCTTGGTGTGGTCTGGGACTGTTGTTGTTGTTGTCTTGGTGTGGTCTGGGACTGTTGTTGTTGTTGTCTTGGTGTGGTCTGGGACTGTTGTTGTTGTTGTCTTGGTGTGGTCTGGGACTGTTGTTGTTGTTGTCTCGGTGTGGTCTGGGACTGTTGTTGTTGTTGTTGTTGTCTTGGTGTGGTCTGGAATTGTTGTCTTGGTGTGGTCTGGGACTGTTGTTGTTGTTGTCTTGGTGTGGTCTGGAATTGTTGTTTTGGTGTGGTCTGGAATTGTTGTTGTTGTTGTTGTTGTCTTTGTGTGGTCTGGGACTGTTGTTGTTGTTGTCTTGGTGTGGTCTGGAATTGTTGTTTTGGTGTGGTCTGGAATTGTTGTTGTTGTTGTCTTTGTGTGGTCTGGGACTGTTGTTGTTGTTGTTGTCTTGGTGTGGTCTGGAATTGTTGTTTTGGTGTGGTCTGGAATTGTTGTTGTTGTTGTCTTTGTGTGGTCTGGGACTGTTGTTGTTGTTGTCTTGGTGTGGTCTGGGACTGTTGTTGTTGTCTTGGTGTGGTCTGGGACTGTTGTTGTTGTTGTTGTCTTGGTGTGGTCTGGGAGTGTTGTTGTTGTCTTGGTGTGGTCTGGGACTGTTGTTGTTGTTGTCTTGGTGTGGTCTGGGACTGTTGTTGTTGTTGTCTTGGTGTGGTCTGGGACTGTTGTTGTTGTTGTTGTCTTGGTGTGGTCTGGGACTGTTGTTGTTGTTGTCTCGGTGTGGTCTGGGACTGTTGTTGTTGTTGTTGTCTTGGTGTGGTCTGGAATTGTTGTCTTGGTGTGGTCTGGAATTGTTGTTGTTGTTGTCTTTGTGTGGTCTGGGACTGTTGTTTGTCTTGGTGTGGTCTGGGACTGTTGTTGTTTTACTGACTTGCCCCAACCTTGCATTTGGTGTTGACAAATCGTCAAGAAAGTCTGTACTTGTGCTATTTGTACTGTACTTGTGCTATTTGTACTGTACTTGTATATTTAGTCACACCGTCTGGCTTGCTTTCTCTCATTCTTCCCCTGTCGTCTCGTGCACTGCTTGTTGATGTAACTCGCTGACCCGAGCCCTACAGGACATGTGTGGAAAAGAGCTTCATAGCTCATCGGATTCCTCCAGGACAAATTAAAATTCTGAATCAATAAAAGATTCTGAGTCAGATGTCCCCACCGACTCATTTCCACTCTTCCTCTCTGTGCTCTCTCTCTGCGCTGTGAAGACGATAATTGCCCCAAAACGTCGCTTGTGGATATACAGGTGTTGCTGTTGATGTTGTTATTTGACTAACGCATACCTGTCAAACCTTTACCTTATTACAAATTCAGACCTTATTGGCCACCCCGTGCCCCTCATAAATCTCAACGTTCATCCTACAAATCACTGACAAATAGTACAAAAGAATACGAGTAATCCGTGTGGGTCTTGACAGCGTTGCCAACGTGGTGATTTGAGTTTTGTTTCTCATCAGCCACAAGCAGGCCGCTTGAACACGTGCCACACACACCGACAGACGTGGGCGGAAAGAGGGTGGGGCTTGCAACGGAATGGGCGTGGCTTCATGGTATTCCACGCTTCTGATTGGCTAGCGGGCAACGGCAATTTACGAGCCGTGTCGTGGCCGACTAACTAAGCTGATTGGCGGGGCGGGCAGGGAAGAGGGTGGGGCTTGCAACGGAATGGGCGTGGCTCCATAGGAGTCCACGCTTCTGATTGGCCAGCGTGCAACGGCAATTTACGAGCCGTGTCGTGGCCGACTAACTAAGCTGATTGGCGGGGCGGGCGGGGAAGAGGGTGGGGCTTGCAACGGAATGGGCGTGGCTTCATAGTAGTCCACGCTTCTGATTGGCCAGCGGGCGACGGTGATTTACGAGTCGTGGAGTGGCTGACCAAGCTGATTGGCGGGGCGGGCGGGCGAAGAGGGTGGGGCTTGCAACGGAATGGGCGTGGCTTCATGGCATTCCACGTTTCTGATTGGCCAGCGGGCGACGGTAATTTACGAGTCGTGGAGTGGCTGACCAAGCTGATTGGCGGGGCGGGCGGGCGAAGAGGGTGGGGCTTGCAACGGAATGGGCGTGGCTTCATGGTATTCCACGCTTCTGATTGGCTAGCGGGCAACGGTAATTTACGAGTCGTGGAGTGGCTGACAAGCTGATTGGCGGGGCGGGCGGGCGAAGAGGGTGGGGCTTGCAACGAATGGGCGTGGCTTCATAGGAGTCCACGCTTCTGATTGGCCAGCGGGCGACGGTAATTTACGAGTCGTGGAGTGGCTGACAAGCTGATTGGCGGGACGTGCGGGCGAAGAGGGTGGGGCTTGCAACGAATGGGCGTGGCTTCATAGGAGTCCACGCTTCTGATT